CCAAGAACCTCGTCCTTTAAATATTCAAATTACTTTCTTAAAATTTTTCCTTTCCTTTATAAAAATTTTTTCTATATCATTTTTTTACAATTTAAGCACAACTAAAACTTTCAAATATTCTCAAATTGAATTTCAAATACTGTCCTTAATTCTAAAAACCTTAACCTCAAAAATCAGCCTCATTACATTTAAGTTTATAAATGCAATCAAATTTTACAATTTCATCCGCCATATTGGCTCCACCATTTTGAATTTATAACAACTTTTACATCAGAATCGTGACCTGTGACCTGATTTTTAAAAGTTGACGTAAGATTCCTGATCATCGACCCCAAAAATACCCGAGTAACAAGTTTCAAGCAAATCTGATAATTTTTAAAAATTTTGGTCGCCATATTGGATCCGCCATATTGAATTTTGAAAATTTTTAAAATCTGACTTCAGATTCGTAATCAGCGACCCCAAAAACATAAGAGTGACACATTATCCGGTTGACGTGAAACGTCCCATATATATATTTTTAGAATATTTAAATTTTGTAAAATATTATATATGCATACACATACACATACATATACGTACATACACACGTATATATGCTTATAAATAAAAATACGTTTTAATTTTAAATATATCCATTTATTTAACACCCTTCTTTTCGAATTATTTTATATATATAATAATTATTAAATAAATAAATAAATTTAAATACAAAAAAAAATTATATGTATTTGAATATACATATTTTGAAATGATCAATGGGTAAATCAATAACATTCTACAGTACAACTTTGCATTGATGTTACTAACATTTTTCTAAGAGATGGCGCCACCTTCTACGCAGTGAATTTAAAATTTCAATTCTATATATGTAACGCTCCCTGAGCTGCTTTTCAGTTAAGGTCCATTCATTGTCTCATGTCACGGTAAAAGTGAACCTTAAGTTAAAAGCATATTAGTATGAACATTTTCTAAAAGATGACGCCACCTTCTACACAGTGAATTTAAAATTTCAATTCTATATATGTGATGTTCCCTGAGCTGCTTTTCGGTTAAAGTCCATTCACTGTCTCATGTCACGGTAAAAGTAAGCCTTAATAATAGAATAGATATTGTAAATGTAGAGTTGCGTGCGCAAATATTAAGTATGTATTAAATAAGAGTAGGGGTATTGAGATTAAAATTTTACATTTGCTTATAAATAAAAATGGTATTACTCCTTCTCCATAGCCCACTAACTTCTAGAAATATCTTAATGTATATATTTTCTACCCCCTCCAGTCCAACTTGCGTGCGCATTCTTTCAATAGAGAGGGTGATGCTTACACTATGTTAAAGTGAAGATGCGTGTGCAGTTTTTTTTTAAAGTGGGAGTGAAAAGAAGTGGGAGAAAAAAGAAGAGTGGGGCTGATGGCATATAATGCAGAACACAAGCCCGGAGATAGCATAACTGTTACAGATATGAGGCAAAATTCCTGAAATGTCCGAACAAAAAATTAAAAGTTCTCGAATTTAATCCATACTTTTCTAAAATGTTGTTATTGTTGGTGAAAGTCTAAAAATCAATTATTATTGAATTTAATAAAATAGTTTTTAAATTACAACGTTTTTAATTTTTGACTTTTGAAAAAAAAAAATTTTTTCAATGTACAATATTTATAAGTAGAATGCATAAAAGTTAACACATATATAATGAGTTTTAAAGCTTTTTTGACGAGCTACACGCTGTTAATAAAAAATTTTTCTTTTAAATAACATTTGACCTTGAAATTCAAGGTCAAAATGTTAATTTACGTTTATCTCAAAATCGGATTTTTTAAAATTATTTTTAACTATCTCAATGGAAAGCTTGACTAATTTCCTACAAAACATGTAATTTTCAGAGTGGGATCTTTTAAAGTTTTTGAGATATTAATTAATTAATTAATTAATTAATGTTTATAACAAATGAAATATGTTACAAACGAATAAAGTTACCGTAATTCTGAAGTTAGTAATTGAAAGTTAACGTATTTCCGCATCCAACGAGCCCTATATGAAGTATTTTGGATAAGTAGATTGTTAATAAACAATTAGTTAACATTGCAATTGTTTATTAACAATCTACTTATTCAAAATACTTCATATAGGGCTCGTTGGATGCGGAATTAGCTTAACTTTCAATTGGTAAGTTCAGAATTACCATAACTTTATTTGTTTGTAAAATATTTTATTTTTTACTAACAACAAGCATCCAAAAGCCCTATATGAAGTATTTTTGTCCAATTTTAGTTAAATAACAATAAAAAATGAAATATCTTACAAACAAATAAAGTTATCGTAAATCTAAACTTACTAGTTGAAAGTTAAGCTAATTCCGCATCCAACGAGCCCTATATGAAGTATTTTGGATAAGTAGATTGTTAATAAACAATTGCAATGTTAACTAATTGTTTATTAACAATCTACTTATCCAAAATACTTCATATAGGGCTCGTTGGATGCGGAATTAGCTTAACTTTCAACTAGTAAGTTTAGATTTACGATAACTTTATTTGTTTGTAAGATATTTCATTTTTTATTGTTATTTAACTAAAATTGGACAAAAATACTTCATATAGGGCTTTTGGATGCTTGTTGTTAGTAAAAAATAAAATATTTTACAAACAAATAAAGTTATGGTAATTCTGAACTTACCAATTAAAAGTTAAGCTAATTCCGTATCCAACGAGCCCTATATGAAGTATTTTGAATAAGTAGATTGTTAATAAACAATTGCAATGTTAACTAATTGTTTATTAACAATTTACTTATCCAAAATACTTCATATAGGGCTCGTTGGATGCGGAATTACGTTAACTTTCAATTACTAACTTCAGAATTACGGTAACTTTATTCGTTTGTAACATATTTCATTTGTTATAAACATTAATTAATTAATTAATTAATTAATATCTCAAAAACTTTAAAAGATCCCACTCTGAAAATTACATGTTTTGTAGGAAATTATTCAAGCTTTCCATTGAGATAGTTAAAAATAATTTTAAAAAATCCGATTTTGAGATAAACGTAAATTAACATTTTGACCTTGAATTTCAAGGTCAAATGTTATTTAAAAAAAAATATTTTTTATTAACAGCGTGTAGCTCGTCAAAAAAGCTTTAAAAATCATTATATATATGTTAACTTTTATGCATTCTACTTATAAATATTGTACATTGAAAAAAATTTTTTTTTTCAAAAGTCAAAAATTAAAAACGTTGTAATTTAAAAACTATTTTATTAAATTCAATAATAATTTATTTTTAGACTTTCACCAACAGTAACAACATTTTAGAAAAGTATGGATTAATTTCGAGAACTTTTAATTAGCATTAGCATCACTACTCCATCTTCTATAAGGTATATATTCTACTTTAACTCCTTTTTTTAACCCACTCCCCTCACAGCTTAATTTTTGATTTTTATATTAAAATTTTCCATTTACTTCTGCTTACAGATATAAAAAGAAATCATGGATTTACAAAAACTTAACGCTATTGGTCAAATGGAAAGTTTCCTGCCAACAAAACCGCTTGCTGAGTTGACTCCAAATGCTTTATATACTGTAACCAAAATAAAGAGGGTGCAGACAAAATTAGGATGTAGGATTGTAGCAGAACTAGATACTACATTAAACACTTTTCTCCCAGCAAGGTTCGCGAAGCTGTTCGAAGCTGATCCTGCATCATTCACAATGATTGAAAATGCCGTGCAATCTCAAGAATTACAATTTAAATATATAGACAGAAAGTTTAATGTAATCGAATTTGAATATAAGTAATATTAAAAAAAAATTATTAGACTATAAAATAAAAAAAATAATTGTAATATAAAATTATAAATATTCATAATGTGAGAAAAATAAATGTATTAATTTACATAAAAAATGGTTTCTTTTCTTATTTTACCTTCATTATTAGTCTTAATACTTAAGGTATAGGTTCAAGTAATAAATAGGCGTTTTTTTATTTTTTAAAAACTAATAAATTAATTTATTCAGATAAAGTATTTAAAATTTATTATACATAAGATTCAGAATTTTCATAAAAAGATTTTAAAGTAGTATAAGTACAAACCACTTTATCGACGCCATCTGATAAATTTCTCAATTAATTTAATACTTTCAGAAACCAATTTCGAAGAATCATAACAATGTTTACAGCACATTGATTAGTTTGAGTAATATGATGCGTACATGTAGTTAACAATGATTCAGTTATAATATTTTTAATCACTGGACAGTCTATATCTTCTAAATTTTGTACATTTAACAAATATTTTTCTAACCACTGCTTTTTTTCAACACCTTTCGTGTAGATAGTTTTTGCACCTCGTAATGTTTCTTGTATAATAGTACGCAGTTCATCATAAGATACATCTCCAGACATCCAGTGGATTCCATGATAATTGTTTGTTAGCCAGAGATTTCCACTTTTATAATCTTCAGGTAGTGAATTCCAAGCACATGGAGGTCCAAAGAGATACACTCGAGGTTGAGCATCAGCTTCAAGAGGAAGTATAGCCAACTCTTTGAAAATGAAATCGTTGCAGGGTTTCTTGAAGCCTTGAACGTCTACGATGAACTCCATCCTGGAATAGAATTAAATTTCTATCCCAGGAACGTAAGTTATATACCTCTCAGTTCAACCCCCCACTACTTTCATTTTACCCCCTCCATTGCTTTACATCTTCTTAACTATACCGCTGATTGGTTTATACTGTACAATGCGATCATGTATGATGAGGCAATAAGCAGTTGTTTCAGCAGGTATATTATTTCTAGCTTCAAATTCCAAACGTACATTAACTGACGTTCGTTTGAGAAACTCATTTTGTTTTGAACAATCAATAACAATTAGAGGAGCCAATGATTTAAAAGTGTCAAGCTTCAATATGGGTTCAGAATCTCTTCCATAGTAGGAAGATTGGAAATTAGCATACATCTCATAAAGTAGAGAATATTGATTTTGATTAAAATTTTAATTTCCATAAGGATATGATTGTGAATTTAAAAAGAGTTTTACATTTGTAATGTCGCAGTGATCAAAATAACTGGCAGACTTTTTACGTTTATCTTTTCTTCCTGTTTGGTATCCAACAATTACATATCGAGGCTTTTCTAATTGTGTTGGCGATTTTATTTGCCACATGACTCTTGTACTTGAGGGAATTAAAGGATATTCAAACATTTCCCACGATCGAAAACTCATTGATATTAGTAAATCTTTCTCGATAAATTTCAATAATTTGATTTTATAATTATCAGATGGTAAAACATATGGCACTAACCATTCCACTTTATTAATTTGTACTTTGAACTGTTCATCTGCACTTTCGCCCATTTGAATAATAGAATTTAAATCACTACGTGCTCTTATTAAAATCAGTTCATGTTTAGCATTCATAACAATTTTTTTATAATCTTCAGCAAAACCAAAAATCATACCAAGTGGTATTGATACATCAAAATATCCATCTTGTAATGACATTCTTGTATTCAATTCCACATTCAAAACTCCTGAATTTTCAGCACGGTTAAGTTGAGGTGGTGTTAAGGAAACCAAGCTTTTCATAGTAGTTGTATGTCCAACATACTTGCAACGATCAATCTCAACACCATTCAATTCTTAACGAATTTCGTCTGCAATCTTAAATATCAGGTTTCAAAAACTATTCCTGTAGTTTTTTCATAACTTTAGTGGTTATGATGCTCATTTCATTATAAAAGCTGTCGCGACTGTGTTTCAAGGGAAGTTAGTCTTCATTCAATAAATAAATAAAAGTACATAAGTTTTACTAAACATGTTCAAAAAAAATGATATCAAATCTAAATTTATAGACTCCTTCAGATTAATGGCATCATCTTTGGATAAAATATCCTTTGGTTCTTTTCAAAAATACAAGTTGAAACATGTCTAGTCTGTGAAAAGCATAAAAATTTTTTTTTGTAGATTATAACGACTTTTTTGTGCTTCCTCCAACAATGAAGTTGGAACTTGTCTAAACTTGCTTAATCGCATTCAGTATATTAAAAGCACATTCTTTTAACTTTTCAAAAATTTAACTTTAACTTTTTAAATAGTTAACTTTAACTTTTCAAATAGATAAATTTAACTTTTCAAATGGTTAACTTTAACTTTTCAAATAGTTAACTTTAACTTTTTAAATATTTACATGCTTATTAGGTATATTTTCTAAGTATGCATAGGCTATTCCTGTAAAAAGTAAATGTGGAAAAGATGTTTCTGAAGCTATGGAATCTACACATTGTGAATGAACGTGTTCCTAAAAACTTGCATACTGATAAAAGGAAAGAATTTTATAATTCTACATTTGAGAGTTACTGGATACACACTTAACTGGAAACTATTTTAAAACTTAAAGTTTACTTTTACAAAAGATAAAGTTAACTATTTGAAAAGATGAAGTTAATTATTAGAAAAGTTAAAGTTAACTATTTGAAAAATTAATGTTAACTACTTCAAAAGTTAACGTTAACTTTTAAAAAAGTTAAAAGAATGTGCTTTTAATATACTTAATGCGATTAAGCAAGATTGAATTTGAACTTTTTTTAAGATGAATAGACAATCACTAAAAGTAATAGTTTTTTTCACAAGTATTGTCTTGATAATTTTAACTTTTTTTTATGAAATCTTGACCTTCAACGCGAAGACTGTACATTTTAATCCGCAATCCAACAAATTCTGTTACGATTTTCCCACTGCACTCATCTTTCATAAGGCTTAAGACTTTTTTGTTAGCTTGCAGAATGTCATATACATTATTAGCTGATTAATCCAATGTATCAAATTTGCAAATATCTACCTTCATGTCAGAGTAGTGTTACGTCTCAAAAATAAGAAATAACTTTAGAAATAATATTTTTATTTTTTTTTAATTCCGCTTCGGTGATTCAGTGAATTCCTGTTTCATTTACAGAGCAGAAGGCTCTGAGCTAAGGGTACAGGTAAGAAAGAGAAATATTTTAAATGTTAAGGTAAATCTTTATTTATGACAAACACTTAAGAGAAATTTTGTTCTTATGAGAGAGAGAATCTCGAAGCAACCAATCCAAGGAAAAGAGTTCAGCATTCCACTGAAACAAGGAATCCAAGGGTTACTTCAGAGTTATGAGAAATGTAGGAAAATTGGGGTGAAAATATAAAAACACTTACCTTTTAAATTAGAAGTAGATGTATGAATAGGACACTGCGGTGTCTTCTGTTTAGGCAGGATAAAAGGCTGGTACCAGAAAGATTTATATGCCTCAGGAAGGTTGACGGGCCCAGGTAATGACCACAGGTCCGGAGTTCGGAATTGCCGTGACGAAGACCCACAATGAGATTCCTCCACAAAAAGGAAAGATGGTTATTTTCCAATTATATGGAAAATCACAGGTCCTTAGGTAGATGAGTACTCCTTTTGTGTAGAATTTTACGGCACTTGACTAGAATTTACTCGTTATAGAAATCGTCCAAATGACTAGATTCCGTAATAAGCACTATGAACTGGCACTGATATCCAAAAATGACGAGTAGAAATAACGTAGATGAGGTGAAGTTTCGAACTGAACTCTCCGTAAAAAAGTAGCCCTTTTATATCAAGTTTTTCATAAGGGAGACTATATGATTCCATTGGCTTGCATTGCTAAGACTATCTCTTTCTTTTTTATTATCCACAACGAGGGTTTTTGTGATTAAATTACAGAATTTAGAAAGAGCACACCACTGCGATGAAATCGCAGGTGTAAGCGAGAAACACTACAGGGGTGGTATATCTGATTATATTATAGAATTTAGAAAGAGAAAGTCTACGTGGTGAATCGTAGCTGTTAGAAAGGGACACTCATTTATGCCCTTTTAAGGTAATACTGAGTTTCTCGCTTCTAATTGTATATTTTTAGAAATACAATATGTGAACGTAGAACGATACAAAACGCAAGGGTCTTTATACATAAAAGAAAAGATGTTTGGCCACGCGACAAAGGGGCGGGAGTTTACAATTAAGTGAAAGGTATTTTAGATGCGTAACAAAAACACGGGTGTTAGTCGCAGAGACATTCAGCTTAGTATTGATTTAAAAAAAAAAAAAAAAGAATTCTTATAATTTTGAATATAAAAGTTACGGTGACGTGACACCTCCCCCCTTTAAAATTCGGAAATTAAAAATGAAATTGAATAATTTACGAATTCATTTTTAAGAAGACTTAAATAATTTAAGGGAAATGTCACTTACAATTTTGATCATGCGTAAAATTTTAGAGGAACATAATTAAAATATCACATACACATAATGTGACTTCATACATTATTCACACCAAGTTAAACTACAAGTTTATATATATATACGAATGTATTTCAGAAAAACTTTTTCACACATACGACAAACTATCCATTTGATTTAATGATTATACATAGAGAATACATATACGACAAACTATCAATTTAATAATTATACATTGAGAATACATATACGAATATATTTTGAAAAAAAACTTTTTCACACATACGACAAACTATCGATTTGATTTAATAATTATACATAGAGAATACATATACGACAAACTATCGATTTGATTATACATTGATTTATATGAAATAGCTTTATTTTAAGATATCGGAAAAAATACAATGATTTAAGATTTATCAAGATTTTGCAATGAGTTATTTTAAAACTTACATATAAAGAAACTCATTCCACACAGTAAAATTTATAATAGATATGTACGTTAAGTAAATTTTATATTTGATTTTTTAATGCTTGGAAATACTAAATGTATTTATATATATATTTTTTTTATACATCCATGACATAGAGGAGGAAGGGTATAGAAATAGAAAAAAAATTTTACTACTTTTCCTTCCTGAAAACAGGTATAATTTATGAATAGGCATTGTACTATATATATATATATATAGATATACATCTATACATCCCTCCCTCCTTTAAGAGAAAAACGAGAAGCATTCGAAGTTTTGACATGAATACAGAGTTAATGATGTTAATGATATTTAGATATACAACAAATTTTGGCTTAATTCTAATCTGGGTATTTTTTATTTCTTTTAAAACTAAAGCAATTTTTCGCCACATGGTATCGTTCGAAACATCGCTCGCAGGAAGATTCCCATTTAATTAATTGGACTTTATCGCTCCACTCATCTATATCAGTTTCAATGTTATTGAAATCATATCTATCATATAATCTTTTTAACATTACTAGAGCTAGCTTTCTTTTTGTGTCTTTGACATCTAATTGTTTTTCTATGGACACTTCCAAATAATCGTTTTTATGTTCTATGGAACATGTTGCAATTTCTTGGTTACTCAATTCCGGTATTGAATATACGGGTTTTGAAAATGAAAATTCGATGGCTAAATTTTCCAAGTCTGTCACTGGAGAATTTATCCTTTTCGTAATTTGCGCGTTCATATTACCTAAAAGAATTTAGGATCCAGTTAGGTAAAGTCATAAATTTCTTAAATGGTTACAAGTTAAAAGAATATAGTATTCTTCTTATTTTTTTTTTTTTTTTTTTTTTTTTTTAGTCTATTGTTTGACAAAAGGTAGAGAAAAAATTTAGAAAAGTGCAAGAGGTGGGGAAAAATGACTAAAAAAAAATTAGAAAAATGCAAGAGGTGGGGAAAAATGACTAAAAAAAAAATTAGGAAAGTACAAGGATGAGTTGACTGGCTAGTGTAAGAAAAGGTCAGTACTGTTTTGCTTCTTATATAGTGAACTTGAAAATTTCAAAATTTTTCCAAGTTTTCTAAAAAAAAAAATTCTAAGTGTTTTAGTTTGTTTTTTAAATTTATTTTTGTTAAAAAAAAATGGCTGCTGAAAATTTCAATTTAGACTCTATTTGTGAGGGGGGAATTTTGTCTCCGAATGTCATAAGAAATGTTTTAAGAGACACTGATTGTCTCGAAAAAGGTGAAAGTAGTGCAAGTGTGAGAGCTGTGAAGAGAAAAGTCGAATTAAATGATGATTTAAAAGAATTAAAGAAATGTACTTCATGAAACTTGGGGAGGAAGAAATTGAATTGCCACCTCCTCTTCGGTTCGTCAGTATGCGACAAGAGTTACTTAAGGAATATAAACGACAAGGACCAACAGGAGTTTACAAGATTGAAGAGGTGTACTATAAGCTGGAGAATAAACAGCTTCATGTAGTAAGTGATTTTAATTTTATTATTATTATTAGTATTATTATTATTATTTTTTTTTTAAATATACTGTAAACAATAAATTTTGTTGTTACAGGTTCCTTCTAGAGCCATTATAAGGTTGGGGGCAAAACGCTACATAAAGTCTTTCCCAATAGTTCATTATAAAGGGGGTACCTATGTGTTACCTTACAAATGGCATGGGTACCCAGAGTTTTTAAAATTAAAATTAGTAAAGGAAATGTCAGGGGGAAACCAAGGAATACGGTGGTTTATGGAACAACAGTTTTTTTTT